TGTAATGTCCTGGTCCATGTTTTGCCAATATACATAGCTTTGCATTAGCGATTTCATTCTATTTTTCCCTGGATGGCCCATGTGGAAATCCTTTAGGATTTGCTTTTGTAATGTTTTGGGAATTACTACCCTTTCGTTATAAAGTAGCACATTATAGCATAAAGAAAAACTGTCCGATATTTGCTTATTTTTTTCTGTTATTTTTGCTTTTGTTTCTTTTATGAATTCATCATTTATTGCTTCATTTTTTATGTCTTGTAGTGTGACGGGGAGGTTTCGAACTGTACAACATAGTACTGTCCTGATATCTTCTTCATGTCGTAAGGTTGCGAATACAGAGTCTTTCAATGGCTCTGTTTTCGTTGGTATAAGTCTCGACTGACCATCCGCATGCCCGATTTTTTTCGTTGGTAGATACTCCAATCTGAAATTGTAATTCAGTAGAATTGTACCCCATCTTAGCAACCTATTGGCAGTGTAAACCGGTAGTTCTTTCTTCGAACCGAATATTGTTAATAACGGTTTGTGATCCGTCTGTAGAGTAAAAAATCTACCATAGATATATCTATGAAATCTTGTGACTGCGAAAATAATTCCCAGAGCTTCTTTCTCTATTTGTGAGTAATTTTTCTCTGCAGGTAGTAGGGTTCTTGAAGCATGCGCGATGGGTTTTATTGTCCCATCCGGCATTTTATGCAGTATACACGCCCCGACTCCATAGGCGCTCGCGTCACTTGTTACTATTATTTCTAATTTTGGGTCGTAGTGTGCCAAAAATAAATCCGAAGTTAACGTCTTAATTATTTTGTCAAACGTTTTCTGACATTCATCTGTCCACTCCAAAACTTTTTCTTTTTTCAGCAGTTCGTTCAGTGGTACGCGAAGTTTATGCATGTGAGGAATGAATTCCTGGTAATAATTCACTAAGCCTAGAAAACTTTGTAATTCTGCTATGTTTTTTGGAACTGGCATTTCTTTTTTATTGCCGTTGCCCTTTCAGGGTCTGGTCGTCTTCCTTCTTGATCGATGATATGGCCCAGGTATTTTATTTCCTTCATAAAAAAATCGCACTTGTTTTCTTTTACCTTAAACATATAGCTTTGTATTCTCCTGAACACCTCGTGTACGTGATTCCAGTGTTGTTCAACACTTTCTTCCAGGTATGCAATCCTGTACTCTAGTCCGGCGAGTATAGTATCCATTGTCTGTTGGAATATAGCCGGCGCGACCTTAATCCCAAATGGTAATCTTTGGTATCTGTATAATCCTTTTTGTTTGTTTATGCACAGTAATTTTGAACTTTTCTCATCGACTAAGATTTGTAGGTACGCATCACTTAAATCTATTTTTGAAAAAAATTTTCCGCCGTTTAATTTTGTGAATACTACTTCTGGACTGGGTAGAGGATAATGGTAGTCTTTATCGCTGCGTTCAAACCCGTTGAGAAATCAGCGCATACTCGAATCTCCCCTGATTTTTTTTTTTTTTTTAACGTAAACCGTGGGTGCGGCCCATTGACTGTATTCTACTTTTGTCAATATGCCGGTGTTTTCGAGTCTAGCCAATTCTTGATCTATTTTTTCTATTGAAGCAAACGGTACGCCCTTTTTTTTCTTGAAGATAGGTTGAACGTTTTCTTTTATTTCTATATTTGCTGCCATTTTCTTACATCTTCCGAGACCTGCTGAAAATACTTGGGGAAATTCTGTTTTTAGTTTCTCTTTTAATTTATCTGCCTCGGTCGATAAACTTTTTACATTTTGGCAGTACGTACTTATTGGTAAATCCCTAAGTTCGAATTTTTGCATCCAGTAAGTTTTCTGTATTTCTTAGCACATACATTTTCAATTTTTTGGTCATTCCATTGAATGTCACATTTGTAATCACTTCACCCTCAAATTTTATTTTTCTCCCAGTAATTCTAGCAATTGTATCGGTTCTTATCATGGTAGGTTTGTTCAGTTTTCTCCGTGTTTTTACGTTAATAATAGTTAAGTCCGACCCGGAATCCAAGTGTAGTCTGACTTTTCTGTTTTGCATTTCTACTTGCACGTATTTTCTTATCTTAGTCTCATCTGTTTGGTCAGTCCTCGTGGTTCTTATTCTGCTTTTGCTTTCTCTTCTAGTCCAACAATGAGAAATTTTTATGTCCTATTTTTTTGCATGATAGACAAGTTTTAAAACGGTATGGACAGTCTTTATATACCAAGTCCCACAACGGGATAGCATGGACTGGGTGAAAATTTTTTTTTATTGACTTTTTGAAGTAGAAAAATTTGTTTTACCTGTTTTTGAGGAGGGAAAATTTGTTTGGTTTGTTTGTGAGGAGGGAAAGTTGGTTTGTCTTCGTACTTTACGTTTGTGCGCGATGCCAGCTTCTTCTATGTTTTTGAGTCTTTCTTTACACTCATGCATCTCTGGCAGTCTTCGGTCAGTTTTTGAAGTGTCAAATCATGTTCACTCTCCAATTTTGAAAGGATTCTGCGTCTAATTTCCGCGTCTTTGGTCGAAACCAGGCCTTGGACGTATATTAAACATTTGAAATTGTCTGGGCTGAGTTCCGATAACTTGAAATCATCTCAATATTTGTTTACAAAGGAAGCGAAAGTTATGTAATCTTCGCTCACCTTTTTTGTTAGATTCAGACATTTCCATCTTTTGTAGAATAGTGAGGTATTAGGGCTGAAAGTTCCGTTAACAGTTTTATGGATTCTTTGAAAGTTAACTCATTTGTTTTCCTCGGTAGGATATAATCTACGAATTTGGTATATTTGCATGTGCCTAATTTTCTTTGTAGTAGTACTTTTCTTGCGTCTGACCAATTTCTGCAGTCAAATTCATATAGATCTTCGTACCTTCGGAAGTAAGTTGCAAAGGTTTTATCTTCGTCGGGTGCATACGTGAAATCTTCGATAGTGCTCCAAATAGCGTCTTGTGAGAGAACTGTTTCATTTTCAGAATTTTGCCCTTTATTTGACATTACACGTAGCAATAATTCTTGTAATTCAAGATGTTTTTGTTGTTTTCTGTTGCTGTTCAAATTGGATTTTCATAAGTTCCAAAATGGTTGACTTAAAATCTTCCATGTTAACGTATTTTTTGTGTAAGTATTTTCCTTTAGTGTAGCCTGATATTCTGGAACCTGTGTATCAAAAAAAAAAAAAATTTTTTTTGTAGAACTTGTGTCTTTGTTACCAGAGTAAAGTTGATAAAAAAAAAAAAAAAAAATTCTTTTTTTTATATGTTCCTTTTTTTATTTTTTTAGAAATCTCTACGTAGAACTTGTTTTTTATAATCTCAACGTAGAACTTGTTTCTTCAGTTTTCTCGTCGACACTGTTATGTGCGACGGATAGCAAAAAGGTTTGTCCTCCGCGTAGACAGTTGGTTTCTTGGGTTACCTCGTCACCACTTGTTATGTGCGACGGATAGCAAAATAGTATGTCGTCCGCGTAGAGAGTTTTTTTTTTTAGGGTTTCCTCGTCGCCACTTGTTATGGTCCAAGTTCTTTGTACCACGGTGATGGTCCAAGGTTAGAACCAATGAAAGAATAACACGAACACAGGTATGGAATACAAAGATATATTACAACAGAAATACAAAGAAGTAGAAATATTAGTAATTACTATCAGATTTGGTTAGAGTGAACCATATTGTCTCGACAAGTATCCCTATTCCAATGTCCTTACAATATGCTCTCAATTATCTCTCCTCGTTTTACAATCTCCTCATACCTCTTGAGAGGCGCAGTATTTTTAATGTCAGGAATAGTCCATTATTATTATTATGGGTAAGTTCCCATAACACTATTAGAGGCGAATAGCTCGAGATTATGAGTTCCTACAATGGGATAGATGGATCGATACCACTTTCAGGCAGGAATTGGAGCTCATGTTTGAATTCGAGAAGATGGAATTCGATCTCTGGAAAGTTAGAAAGGAACAATGGTGTAAAATGATGACCTGGGGTATACTTTTGGATTTGATTTTTTGTTTAGTTTTTTGTTGTCATGATTGGAAATTAGTGTGTTCGGGAGAATATTAGGCAGTAAGACAGTCACACTCACATGAGATGTATCCATCAACAACTGAGATTTAATTGTATGGAGGTACAGCCGTAATAGTACTTTTTATCATCACATCAAGTGACTCCACCGGAGACTACTGCACAGTCCAGAACCCATTCACAAAATGGCAGTACAATAGTCCCGATATTATACACCTGCTAATAGGATAGCCTTTTCCGAAGTTACTCAAAGGTTCGAATTCCTGACAATCAGGCGGACAACACCAAAACCCAGAAAATGTTTACTTCCAGCACATTTAATGAAAGAACAAATCATACAGGAAATAATATACAGGAGTGATAACCTGAGGGTACATGTCTCGTCTACCCTGAAATCAAGGCAACAGAACTTCTCGAATCAGAAATATCGTACCGGTTTGAGGCCTCAGGTACCGAGATAAACTCATTCATATATGTGGACTAAAATATCACTAAGTGTGTGTGTGTGTGTGGGGGGGTAACATAGGTTGCTCTTGGTGCATCAGCATCCTCTACCACCATTGGATTTAATATTATGTTAGAAACAAAATTACGGGTATGAGAGATAGTATTGGCCGAAGGTGTAGGGAGGGGAGAAAACTACGGCTGGCATACATTGTGTTTGGGTTTATTTTGTTTTACGACAGATAAACACTTCAATCGGTTATTTAATGCCGGCAAGATTTTCAGAATAGATTCGTATGAATAGAATATGTATTCTTTGCAAGAAATCAGGAGATCAGGTTTCATTGACGTATTTTTGTAAAGAGGGTTTGAATAATGGTTTGGTGATACATGTTTTACTAATTAACCCATAGTTGGGGAGAGTAGAGATGGATCCCTATCTTTCTTAAGAGTATTTGTAAGTGATTATACTGAACTCTACTGGAATTGGAACTCGGCTCGCCGATTAACAATTCCGAGCCATTATTCATTACACCACACGCACATCCAAACTTACAGTACCTGGTATTTCCAAGCGTTTACCCATCTAAGTACTGGTCAGGCTCGACGTTGCTTAACTTCAGTGATCGAACGGGAACTGGTGTTTCAATATGATGTGGCTGTAAGCCCATCCATTGGGAATTGGAAAGAAATTCAGATTTCGAAAAAAAAGTAAAATAAAATAACCAAAAATACATTTCAAGTAATATAGGGGCCTAAACTTCCAAAAATATATGTAGGATTCTGTTTAGCAGATTAAATAATATAAATATCGCAAACTGATACACACAGGTATATATAAATAGTAGGTGAGGTCTTTTTTTTTTTTAAATCGATTTCACCCCATGCAAAGCAGTAAAGCCCCTAAGACACAAGGATTTAATGGGCTTGAATGAAATAGAAACAGAAACATTACTTAAGAGTGAAAACAAAAGAAGAAGAATCAGGAGGACAGTATATAGCGATTGACATTAAATTTTTGCAGATTAAAGTTGGCTGGATAGGATGGAGACAGAAGAAAGTTCCACAAGCGAGAAATGAAACTGTTATCATAGAATTTACGGTTACATCGGGCAAGATCAACTGAGATTTCGACGCTAGCCTAATACTGCGCTTAAATTCATAAAATCTAGCTACCGTAGCGAAGTCGGTACTAACCAAGAAAAACGAACATGCAAAGCCATTTTTTAACTAGAGTTCAAAGAAAAAATAATGAATTAAATAAATAAAAAACACATTCTTTTTTAAAATAAAATCTACATATTTCCAAAGAAAAAATTGATCGGTTTAGTTGTTGAATTGTTGACATGGTAACCCATAGTTGGGGAGAGTAGAGATGGATCCCTAGACCAAAAGCCCTGGAATACGGACAAAAGAGATCTTTTTTCATCAGAACAATGCTCCAGCATACAAATCCTTGATCTCAATGGATGCTGTGCATGACTGTTCTGAAGAAGTCGAATTGATCACCCTCACTATAAAATTGAAATTTCTGGAACCAAGGGTTCCCGAAATGAACCAATTCGCAGTGATGCGGACGTCATATCTGCTGTTACTTTGACATTTTGACCAACAGGAAGAACAGTCTTCTTTGAATAGTCAGATGTCAGTTTACCTACAAAGAAAAAATGAATTTATTAATAAGAAGGGTTGAAATTAATGCATGCAAGATTTCACAGGTCTAGCATCACATCTTCATAATTAGCCTATAAATTCTTCAGTCCACCCTCGTATTCACAACAATGAGAAATTATTTTTAACAAACTGATAGTATTTTCCTGTTAAATGATGTGGAGTTGAAAGAGAATTTCTGAGCAAAACATTCTTCAGTCCTTCAAACTGATTGAAGACATGAGGAATTTAGTATTTACTCGTGTTAAACCCTCTTACAGAACCGCCAGTAAAATACGTTAACTATATATATATATATATATATATATATATATATATATATATATGGAGAGAGAGAGTGATGTTCACTCTGTACAGTGCCCGGGGACTACTCAAGGTAGAGTCATGAACAGGTTAAGATTTCAGTGTGATCAGAAAAAAAACATCCTATTGGGAGTCGGTCCTGCAGTATGAGTCTTGGTTCTGAGAAGAAGTTGTTCGAGTTGACCTTACTTCTCACCAATAGAACACAGAGGGAATGTAGGTGGTTTGCTACTATGTAAGTGGTGTGGTGGATCCTAGACATGAAGGTTATAACTGGTGTAACTAAGGAATGTAGTTCGTTCGAGCACTTTACGTGAAATTAGCGATAGAACAGTGAGAGGCTTACCACATCCCACCCATGAGAGAGAGTTTGGAGAGTGGAAAGATATGTATACATTAAAATAACAGGAAAGAACAGTGAGATCTATAATCCAGAGTTCTTAGCTTTTATTTTTTTTAAATCAGTCCTCGATACAACACTAGAGCATAATATTATTATTTTTTAACGTGAACACTAAAAATAACGTTTATAAGAACTATATCATATAATATATATGTGTGTGTGTGAAAGAGAGAGAGAGAAAGAAAAAGGGGGTGTATGTGTATTAACAGATATATATATATATATATACATATGTGTGTGTGTGTTTTTAAGCTTATAGGTACCTCCAAAAATTCTCTAAAAAAAATGTGCATCTATGATACCCCATACTTGATAAATGTTATAGTCAAAATCGTTGTTATTAAATGATCAAATCAAAAGATTTTTGATGTTCAAATTATATTTTTTAATCCTTATTAGAACCTTCGAAGTTTTGGTTAAACATTTTCTTTTTCTTGTATCAGCGGTGGGGGGACCAAAGATTAGTGAAGAATTTGTTTTTTGTTTTGATTTTTTTTTTTTTTTGCGGTGCAAAACACATTGATTTGGAAATTTTTGCAAAATTTAAACAGTTATTGGATTTTAATGGAAATTTCAGGACTTACGAGAGTGGGAGGAAAAGTTCAAAGAGTGACTACAAAGAAGTGATGCTGTGAAATCTTGCATGCAACTTTTCTTATTAATATCAGCATTGTTTCATTCCAGGTAAATTTAGAATTGTCTGTTTAAGGAAGACTTAAAAATTAATTAGTGGCGACTTCCCTTGAAAATGGACAGAATGTAGCATGGTGGTGTTATCAAGTTCCTGCAGAAAAAGGGTTTATTCCCCAAAAGGACATTCATGCTGACATAGTTGCTACATTAGGGGATACCTCCCTAGCTTTATTAACAGTGCAAAAGTGGGCAGCTGAATTTAGAAGAAGGGAAAGTCTCGAAGATGACCAAAAGTCTGGAAGTCCTGCAACTGTCATCACCGAGGAAAACATTGATCGTATTCGCCACATGTTGATGGATGATAGGCGATTGACTATAAACCATATTAACAGTGCTATTAGCATATCCCATGAGGGAGTTGAGAATATTCTGTACAATGAACTTGCAATGACGAAGGTTTCTGCTCGGTGAGTGCCACGTCTTTTGACACCTGATAAATAGAGCGTCAGGTCGGTCATATCACAGGAAAATCTGATATTGTTCGGGACAGATTCAGTTGGTTTCTTTGAACGTTTCCGAACTAAGGATAGAGCGTCAGGTTGGTCATATCACAGGAAAATCTGATATTGTTCGGGACAGATTCAGTTGGTTTCTTTGAACGTTTCCTAACTAAGGATGAGTATTGGATTCATCACTTTGAGCTAGAGACAAAGAGACAATCCATGCAGTGCTCTCCCCTCCTACCTACTCCAAAGAAGGCCAATGTCGTTTCATCTGCAGAGAAGGTGATGGCTTCAGTCTTTTGACATACAAAAGACATTGTGTTTATTGATTATCTTCAAAAGGGCCACACAATCAACAGAGAGTAGTATGCAAGTTTGTTGGGGCAGTTACGAAAGGCTATCAAGACCAAAAGCCCTGAAAAACGGACAAAAGAGATCTTTTTTCATCAGAACAATGCTCTAGCACACAAATCCTTGATCTCAATGTATGCTGTGCATGACTGTGGTTTAGAAGTGGTTGATCACCCTCCCTATTCCCTTGATTTCTCTACCATCTACCTCAACATGAACCAATATCGCAGTGATGATGACGTCATATCTGCTGTTAATGACATTTTTGACCAACAGGAAGAACAGTCTTCTTTGAATAGTCAGATGTCAGTTTACCTACAAAGAAAAAATGAATTTATTAATAAGAAGGGTTGAAATTAATGCATGCAAGATTTCACAGGTCTATCATCACATCTTCATAATTAGCCTATAAATTTTTCAGTCCACCCTCGTATTCACAAATGAATTAAATTATTTTCGAAACGTTTCCTTTTAAAAAAATTTTGGTATTTTTTTACATCTGTTACCCCCAACTTATTTTATTTTTTAAAGTTTCGCGAAATTCCTTTTTGTAGAGCTTAATGTCTATATTAGTTATAAAGACAAGTTATCGACAATTTAAATGATTCAGTTTTTTTTTCTCAAGCAAGACCAGTTTTCGTATAAACGTGCCGATTTTTTTTAAATACTGACGTCCATACATGACATTATCTGAATATAAGAGCGGTAACTATGGTAAATTTACAATTTATTGGTAATTTTCTAATATTTTCTCAAGGGTCTTCCCAAGTAAGACTATGAAATCAAAGTACCTGAAATTTAATAAAATATTAGATTACTTAGAATGCTTTCTTAAATTTTTAAAATTACTGGCTAGTTAAAAAAAAATATATATTAAAAAGTCGTTCACGCTGTATTTGTCAAATAATTTATATAGTTATGAGCGCTTTACTAAAATACCAAAGATTAAGTTATCGATAAATCTCTCCAACAGTGTAGGAATAATTCGAATATTTTTTAATATTTCAATGTTTTTCCTTTTAAATTTTCACTCCTTTTACTTTTGTCCTTTATTTTTATTTTCCTTTGTACTTATTTCGCTTTTCTTACTATCTCATTTTATTTTTTTATTTTTTCATATTCTGTTACATTAAATTGATGTGGCGGGAAGAGAAACACATATTAACATATCATTGCAAATCTATTTCATTTCTTTTAAATTATCAGGGAATTTTTAATGTGTACTATATGAATCATTTGACGTTGAAACCGTTCCCCTGTCGAAATTGTAAATATGGCTTTAGTTAGATTTCATTGAGAAAATTGGTAATGACTATAATAAAACATTTAAGAATAAATGTTATGTTTAAGGCAATGGCGTAACATGTGTTACGAATACAACTTTGGTACCCTCACCTGATTTACCACTGAAATGTTTTATTGTATGTTTTGTGGTTTATTACTCTTTGGATAACAATAACAAAAATCAGTTAACACTTTACCTAAGCCAAAAATTAGGTCCCAATATCATAATTGTAAACTTAGAACTGAATTCGAACTCAGTACAAATTATACTTACATAATTTACAAAACGTTTTCAAATTCATGTCATCCATTTTATTTTTCAATGTAACAGCTTGAATAAATCCAATTCTAATTCAGATGACACCAACTTGTGGACAAAGTTCCACTTTTTTTGCAAATGTTGGTTTAACAATTTTCACATGGAGAAATGTAGAAATATGTCTAAACACGAAGAATTGTCAAGAGAAAAAGAACTAATTACATTTCTTATTTCAGGCTGGTTTGGCCGAGAAAA